CCATTTTTAGTTCTCATGGGACGAAACAGCATAATTAGATGCTTGGGTCGGGGACTGTGCTCAGGCAAGAGCAGCTTCCTAGTGCACAGCTCCGAGAGGACGCACACATGCTCAGAGGCCCCGTGCAGTCCACTTCAGAAGTTCTAGCTCTTTGAACTCCAGGCCCAGAGCATATCTCTGCCCTGCTGGCTCAGCTGTGGAATGACAAATGTTTTATGAATTATTTCTGGTTTATAAAAAATTTAGCTGTGAAATCCTGAGGGGAGCATGTTAGACTTTCAGGAGGAAAAGGGTTGATACCGCTAACGAGGGTGGAAAGATGAAACGGAATTACAGCAACTTAAATGACTGCCAGGTAAACATGGCCAATTTTTCAGACCAGAGTAACTTTCACTACCAAGCCTCCCCATTGTTCAGTAATAACTGCTGATTTTGCTGCCATTCAAATTATTTTTATTAGCATCTTTCTAAAAACCAATACCAGAAGTAAATGAGCATCAATCAGATTAGTTGCAAACTGACCAGTTCTTTTAAGATAGATCACTTTGGGGATCAATACCAGAAGTGATTCTCCTCTTAAGGCTTTGTGAGTTATTGGTGGCTACTCAGAGGGAAGTTTGGAAGTTCAGGGTGTGCTTGGCCCACAGGGATGTAACTGAACAACAGAAGGGAGCTCATTTAAAACAGATGACCTGCAGGGCCCTTTCCACATGACTGAACATAGAGTAAGGGAAACTTAGACCTATAAGGCGATGGCCATAAGAGAGAAAGTTTCTATATGATATCAGAGTCTTCAGAACTGGAAAGCATCCTTTCATGGGCCATGGAATGTCCAAGGCCAGCAAGCCCTGCAAAGGAGGTGTCTGAGGAGTCCTAAATACACAAAGAAAACCACTTCTTCCTAGGTCGGCCCAACCCCTTTTCCCTCTCGGCCTTTTGCAGGATGGTAGGAGCTGTGGTCCATCTCTTCTTAGAGTTGGTGCTCCTTCATCTCACTTTACCAAACGCTTGAGATTAGGGAAGTCTTTGAGAGCCACTTAAGAAGCTGTGGTAGAAGGCTCTCAGGCTTGAGGCTGGGCTGCATAGTGAGTTCAAGGTCAGCCTCTCAGAATAAAGATAAAAAAAGGGTTGGGACCGTAGCTTGATACAGATCTCTTGTCTAGCTTACACAAAGCCCTAGTTGAATCCACAGCAGTGCAAAAGGAAACAAAACCACAAACAAAACACACTGGGCTCCATATGCTCAACAGAGCCTAGGGACATCTGGTGGGGGCTGTGATCTATTCAGCAGACAACATGATCTGGCTCCAGACTGAATTTTGTTTTGTAGCAATATCAGCGAAAGAAATGAGGCCAAGCTGCCACAGTGAGGTCTGCACAGATGTCACTGCAGAAGATGACAGGCTGTTCTGCACAGGAAAGGGCACACCTGATTTTATAAGTGAAATACTCAAAATAGCGAAAAATACCAATAAAAATGATGGGCCGGAGACAAAGGCCCTGGGTTCAACCCGGGTCATTGAAAAAGGAGGAAGAGAAAGGAAAAACACAATTCTAGGAAAAGACAATAAAATGACTCTAATGACTTAACCATGTCCCCCATGATAAAAGTGCCTATACAAGATGTGACCCTTAACTAATAGCTCTAGGAAGTTTAAACAGAACAATTGGAAATATTTTAAACTCAGTCAACTGAGAATATAGTTAGATCACGCCACTGTTAACCTTTCCCACTCTGTCTAGCCTAGACCTTTGGACTTCCCAACAAAGTAAAACCCAAGCTTATACAAATGAGGGTCATGATGAGTATCTTTCTTATGATTACATCCATCTTTAAACATTTACCTAAAAATATACACTGAAGAATTTCATCAAGAAGTCCCCCAGTTAAGTTCACAGGTAGAGTTAATGCAAGAATACACATCTGTACACATATGATACTAACATTTCCTTAGACCTCATAAAAACATTTTTAATATGCACGGGCATGCAATGGATCAACTGCTCAATTGATATCATAGAGATAAACACTTATAAATGAGTTACCTAACCACATTTTTACAAAACAGTTACACAGCAATATAAATTTAGTTATCTGATCTCTTGATAGTTCAGCTAAACACCATTCCTGCAAACTTTCTCACACCTCTTACGGGTGATTATGTAGCTTTTTGAATCATCTTCCCAAAGTCAAACATGGAATTACTGTAGCGGCTACTCTTTAAGTATCTCAGTTGCAAATCTTAAAGAGCCCACAGAAACTGGGTAATTTAAATACAGCTGGCCCTGAGTGACACAGGAAAGCTAGACAATGATGGAGCTGTATCTACGAGAGGTGTTTAACTGACAATGAAGAACTTCCTAAAAGAGAAATTGTCTGACACACGTGAGCTCAAGGCTGAGCAAAAAGTGGCAGCCACTCACTAGCCTCTCCAGAGGACAGGCAGAAGGGGTTTCCCAACTCCTTAAAACCAGTATTTCTAATGAATATAGATGTGAAAAACTTCAGTAAAAGCAGGAAACTGGATCCAGTGTTGTATAAGGGATTAGACTGAGAACAAGCATCATCTAACCCAGTTATAAGAAGCTGGCCTCAAAGACAATGAATGCAGCCTAACCTATTCAGCTGAAGTTTAAAAACCACAGGGGCCTATCGGTAGACACGGAAGAGCAGTTGATAAAAATCCAATGCCCATTTAGGATAAAAAACCCCTAGTAAACTAGGATGGTAACTTTCCCAACCTAACAAAAAAACAAAAATCCCACAAAGCCCTCCAGCTAACAACGTATTTAGCGGAAAGAAAGTGTCCCATAGATTTCAGGGGTCAGACACAGGTGCCCTCACTTGTCATTACGTTTTACCAGGTGCTGGGAGTCCCAGCTCTTAGAGGAAATAGAATGCAGGCAGACTGGGAATGAAGAGATAAAACTCTTCGCTCACAGAAGTTGCAGTACGTGTCTGTCCGTTGTGAGGTTGTGGAAGGTGCCTGTCTTAGGGTCACTACTGCTACGATGGAACACCATGGCCAAAAGCAACCTGGGAAGGAAAGGGTTTATTTGGCTAACCATCACAGAATGCTGAGGTCATGGAGGGGAGCTGCTTACTGGCTTGCTCCCCAATACTTGCTCAGCCTGCTCCCTTATAGAACCAAGGACCACCAGCCCAGGGATGGCCCCACCCACAATGGGCTGGGTCCTCCCACATCAATCACTAATTAAGGAAATGCTCTACAGGTCTGCCTACAGCCAGATCTCACGGAGGCATTTTCTCAGTTGAGGCTCCCTCCTGTCCGACGACTTCAGCTTGTGTTAAGTTGACATAAGCAGCACTGTGGCTTAATTGGTAAATTAACTGGTAAATTTGCCTGAAAAGCATGAAGACCTGAGGTTAGATCCCTACAACCCGTGTAAAAATCCAGATATGGTATGTCCTGTAAACCCAGAGATGGCTAGATAGATAGGAGGCAGATGCTGGTAGATCTCTGGAAGCTTTTAGCCCAGCAGTCCTGGCCTACACTGCCAAATCTAAGATGTGAGACTCTGTCTCAAAGAAAAAAATGAAGGCCCCGAGGGAACAACACGAAGATTGACCTCTGACCTCTACATGTACACATCTACATCCACACCTACTCTCTCTCTCTCTCTCTCTCTCACACACACACACACACACACACACACGACTACTCACACATAAAGTCCATTGCTTTTGCCTTTATTTTTCCACCCCAGAAACAAATAGGGAATGTGAAACATAAGACGCAGGGTCGTTTGCCTTAGCTTAGTGTAAATCTAATAAAATGTATGCAAGTTTTACATGAACTAAAAAGCATGGAGCTGTGATAAGAAGCCACATAAACGCAAGCCCTGTGTCCCAGGGCAGGGAGGTGTAACGCTGTTGAGTTCTTGGCGCTCTACCGCTGGGTTTGCTGATGAAATGGCTGGAGTTTAGATGAAAAGACAGGAGTCGGAGGAAGGCTGATAGCGCTGGAGGAGGAGGACCAAGCTGGAGCACTGGCACCGCCCAGCTTCGACACTGGTTATAGAGCTACTGTCACCAAGATACTGAGTCAATGTAACATGGTGGAAAGCGGATCTGTACCTGGGGAGCAGAAACAGCGGGCTGGGGTTATCTCTGTCCATACACATGCAGAAAAACGAAAACCAATTTATACTAATTCAGACTGGGTCACTGATGTAAATAGGAGATGCAAACTTACATGAAAGATACACCCTGGGTCACAATGACGGGCTTTTAAGAACACCACCAAAAGCATGACCCACGAAAGGGTCATATGACATGCTACACTTCCATTAAAATCAAAACCCCGCCAGATACAAATCATATTCGTGAAAAAGAACCTTTATCCAAAACACACAACTTATACAGTTTAACATTATGGACATGAGTAACCTAATTTAAAAATCAAGTCACACTGGAAGATACACTGGTCGTTTCTTTGTCTTTAGTTTTTATTTCACTCGTACAAAGAGTTGAGTTCTGGGCTGGAGAGACGGCTCAGTGGTTCAGAACACTGGCTGCTCTTCTAGAGGACCAGGTCTCAATTTCCAGTACCAACATGGCAGCTTGTAACTGTAATTGCAGTTCCAGACACATAAAGCATATTTAAGGGAGTGAAACTTCTGTATGGCATACCCTGATGATTGACGTGTTAAACGTGTCAAACCCACAAAATGTGACCACCAATAGTGAATCCTAGTGCATACTGTGGACTATGGTTAGGATGTCAACACACACACACACACACACACACACACGCACACACACACACACACACACACACACACACACACACACACACACACACACACATCGGTGTTAACGTATGTGCCCTTCTGGTGGAGGATGCTACAATCAGAGAGGCTGTAATCAGTATGGGGCCCGACACACATGAGCTTTGTACTTCTTACTCAGTTTCCCAGTGAGTATAAAACTGTTTAAAAAGAAAACAGAACAACTAAAACATCAAAAGATGGCTTAGTAAATTGTATATTAATTTTTATTTAAGCGTACATATCATATAAAAGTTTTAATTCATATCACAGATAATGCTTCTGGTCTAGTATCAACTTCCATGAATCCTTTTGGTTTCCATGAATCCCCTCAGGTTGCTACAGATCACTAGTGCCTCACAGAGGAAGAAAGGAATTAAAGGCCCTGGGAAGACCCCTCTCAGCCGTCCCTGAGGATTCTGGGAGGCATTCAGTAGCACGGACACAGTATTAAAAAATGAGTGAGAAACACAGTTCTGAGACTGTGTCATAAAATATGGTTCCTTTGGTTTAGATTAACTACTGACTCCCGTGACAGCATCAGTACCCAGCTTCCAATCTCCACTCTCTAAAGTATTTCTCCATTGTGTTCCGAGACTTGAAGCTGCCGACATTCACGGTGGGTATGATTTTCTGTGGCTTTAGCCACTGGACAAAACGTTTCATCTCTAGGTAGCTGCTGTGTTCGCTATAGGGAATTCCTGTAAGACCAAAGGAAATAAAATAATAAAATATATAAAGTAATATATAAATACATAACATAATAAATATAATAAAGTAACAAAAATAAGGAAGGTAGAAAAGCAATCTAGAATATTGCTGCTAAACTCTGGTGCTTTAGTTATGGCAATAAAACTTGGTGTCTTTATAATTAATAATGGTTTCAGTGTAAGCCAATGCCAATGCCCAGCTTTACATACATAAAAAGCAAGAAGAAAAAACCAGAAAATTCTAAAAAATCTCTGTCTTTTTTACAGTCCTCTGCGTGAACTAGTCCCCAGTGGCCCCTGACACAGCACATGTCTATCCGCTATCAGTGCACTGAGGCAGCTCCAAGCTAAACCTCTCCCCAGGGACTTCAAAGCCAGCCTGCACCCGCAGTCAGCCCTCAAGCACCACATCCAACCCACCTCTTCCTGCCACAACCTCACTGCTTCCTGTCAGCTGCACTTGGGTATAAACATCACAGCACTGTCCCTTTCAAGTGGTTCCCTCATTTCCTCTAAGTATCCCTGGCGACAGCAAGCAGTGGTTATTGGCAGCTCTTGTACGCTGGCTTAATGGCCTGGATAGGAGTGCAGAGCTGTAGAGCCTGGAAATTCTCAAGCTGCTCGGTCCTTTGCTGTCTGTCTTTCTTGGTTCCTCATTTTACAGTGCTTTTAAGGAATAAGTCGTACCACAAACATTAAAAGTGAGAAATTCTGGACCAGAGAGATGGTTTAGTGGGCTAGGAAACATGGTGTCACGTCCCATGACCCAAGTCCCCAGGACCCACATGGCAGGAGAGAGCCGACTCTTGCAAGTTTGTACTCTGACCTCGTGGCTACCCATGGTATGTGCGCACAGACGAAGATGTAATAAAAAAGAGAAATGGATGAAAACTGAGAAGTTTGGACAATCTTACCATATATTGATATATTTCCTTTCTTCTGGGGAGTGATATCTGCTATGCTAGTTATGCTGTTAGAATGTGTCCATCCTGTAGGTCGAAAAGCCAAAATCTGATTGTATTTCCCACCACACTTCTTCAGATGACTCTGTAAGCCCTGTTAAATAAAAACAGTGCATTGATTTGCTGGTCAGTGTAAACAGAGAAAGGCCCTGTGTGGTTGAAGGGTGAGGTTAGACTCTTCAGGGACAGTCACAGATAGAGCCTGCTGCTAAGCCTGGTGTGCAGGGACCCAGTGCTTGTATGGGGACAGTCATGGGAAACACAGACAGCTTCTCTTTTCGACTTTGCTAAACAAGCTAAGGCAATGCTGGGAAAAAGTATGATCAATCATCTGAAAGCTAAGTAACAGAGTTAAATGACTTATGATTGAGTTAGCTACAAAAATCCCACCTCTTTCCAAACCCCACATACAGAGACATTAATATTGATACCAATAAACATAAATGCAGCAAAAGTCTTTGAGTATAAGCTGATGGGGTGGATAAAAGGTCTCCAGCTAGGGGGGCACTGTACTCAGCACAGACCCTAATTTTAAGATGTACCACAGCCTTCCTCTCGGGCATTTGCTTTCTAACCCTCAAACGTGAACTGGATCCGTTTTCAATCTTCAGGCCACCATAATCGGAAGTAACGTGCTGTCTTAGTCTCTGCTCTGTTGCTATGAAGAAATACCACAGCCAAGGCAACTTGTATAAAATAAAGTGCATCACTGGGGGCTTGTTTACAGTTTCAGAGGCTCAGGGCACGGCCAGAAGCACCATATGGGTCGGTTTGGTGCTGGAGGAGTGGCTGGGAATTCTACATCCTGACCCAAACCGGAGAGACTGGGCCTAGCGTGGGCTTCTGAACCCTCAAAGTCCACCCCCAGGCGACAGATCTCCAACAGAGCCACACCTACTCCAATAAGGCCACACTGTCTACTCCTGCTAATCTTTTCAAATAGTGCCACGCCCTGGGGACTAAGCAAACATATGAGCCCAACCTTCAAACCACCACGGTCCACACCTGGATCCTGTAAGTCTGCAGCTATATCATGATGCAAATGCATTTAGTCTAACTTCAAGAGTCTATCACAGTACCAGCAATGTTTAAAGTCTCTTCTGCGACTCATGCTCTCTCTTAATCCCCTATCTAATCAAAGTCAAAAGCAGACCACATACTTCCAACACACAATGGCACAGGATACACATTAGCAGCCCAAAGCGGAGGGAAGGAGCAGGGTGAGGGAACGCTGGACGAAAGCAAGACGAAGAGGCAGCAGAGACTCCACACTCTGCATCTGCATGTCCGACGTCAAAGCTGCATCTCCATGTCCGATGTCAAAGCTCTGCAGATCTCCAGCTCCTTTCTGCTCTGTCGACTGCAGCACCCCTCTCTCTCTCTCTCTCTCTCTCTCTCTCTCTCTCTCTCTCTCTTTCTCGGGCTGGTTCCACTGTCTGTCAGCAGCTCTCCTTGGCAGGTATCCTGTGACTCCGGCATCTCCAGCATCTCAGGGTCTCCAAGGCAACCCAGGCTTCAACTTCACAGCTTCACACAAGGGCCTCTCTGGACCTCCATGCAAGGACATCCCTGACACACGCCTGGCCAGAGCCACATGGCTGGCTGCAGCTGCCAAGTTCTACTGCTTGCTGGGGCTGGGACATGGGCCCCTCATGCTCAATTGCATCTTCACCAGCTTTTTGCTATGGATGGTTTCCCTCACTGCTTAAGGTCTTCTTTAATTCCTTTTAGGAAGTTGGAAGCTAATTGGGTGTGGCCTTGCCCTGAGGTCAACACTCCGTTTATTCCATGTTCCACCATGCTTTCCCTCTAAGCGTTTTACCTCCTTGAACACTGGACTTCGCTCCATTACACTTCTTTTTCTCCTCAAACTGCACATTTTGTATTTTTGCTCCTTTTCATTACAGACCTGCATAAGACTGGTCACTGATAGTCACATGACACACTCAATACTAGCCTGTCTTAGAACTTCCTCTGCCAAGCCATTAATCCAAAACTCTTCAATTTAGCCTCAGGAAGATTTTTTTTTTTTGGACAAGGGCAAAACAAGCAGCCATGTTCATTGCCAAACTATCACAAAATATCTCTAGGCCATTTATTGATAGTCTGAAACGTGTTGAGTTGGTCCCACAGATCAAATCACCCTCAGCACTGTCCTCCATGCTCCTTAATAGGAGCCCATTGAGCCTTGCTTAAAGCGTCCACCCGCATTTCTAGTCCAAACTCCCAGAGTTTTCCATATTCCTCCAACAAACATCAATATCCCAGTGTGCGGTACCAGCTTCTGCCTTAGTTGCTGTACCATTGCTGTGAAGAGACGCCATGACAAAGGAAGAGATTAACGGGGGCTGGCTTACAGTTTCAGAGGCGTGGCCCACTACCATCAAGGCGAGCAGCATGGCAGCAGGCATGGTAGGCTTGGCGCTGGGGAAGTAGCTGAGGGCCGTGTCCTGATCGGCACGCTATGTGTGCGTGTGTGTGTGTGTGTGTGTGTGTGTGTGTGTGTGTGTGTATGTGAGCATGTGCGTGTATGTGTGTGAGCATGTGCGTGTATGTGTGTGTGTATGTGAGCATGTGCATGTGAGCATGTGCGTGTGCACACCCGCCCGTGTGCATGTGGAGGCCATGGTGCATCTTGCTGTCAAGCTCTGCCTTGTTCCCTTGAGTCTCGATCAGTCACTGAACCTGGCGCAGGCTGGTGGCAACAACCACAGCCATCTTCCCGTCTGTACTCTTATCGGCTGACCCCACTGACTCCATTTTGCAGCCCCCCCCCACTTCCTTTTGTATCAACCGAAACCTTTCATTAATGTGAAGCAAATATAAAATATGAAAAACCCATATTTCTAATCAACTCCTAAACCTTGATATTAAGAGCTGGAGTTATAGACATTTAGGTTTCCATTACATCCCTGGCATTGTAAATTTTCAAGTTGTTGTTTTGGTTATTTTCTTAATTACTATTTTCCTCACTTTGCCCTCCGGAAGGAAGACGTTCCAGTAAACAGAGACTGTGGATGATACGTGTAATTATATGCATAGTTACATAAGCTAGAGTCTAGTTTGCAGCATTCACTACCAACGTACCCATTTCTATTTGTTTCTTCAAAACTACCTGGATGAATTAAATGAAAACCAATTTTTGGTTCCTAGGAGACAAATCAGTTATTCTAAAAATAGCATGTGATATAAAGCAGTGCTACAAATAGATACTTATGGTTACATGAGCCAAATCTACACAGAGGGTTGCCAGAACCTCAAGCTGTACATTCATACCACTGCAGGGCTGTTCTCAGGAGGAAGGCTATTATAAACAATTTAGTCAACACAAAGCCCCTGATTTACGACTGTCTCTCTGTGTTTATTAGTAACCAGTTTGTGAGAACAACGCCTTGGCAAAGTCGCCAGCTTCCTTCAGAGTGCCAGCAATCCCCACAGCTCCTGCATGTCATGTTTTACCACATTTAGTCAACAAGGGTTAAGTCTGGGGTGGCGGTCAACCACGGATGCCTGAAGACCTCGGGATGAGTCAGAGTATGAATTAGGAATCACTTGCAGCCTTTCAGGCTTAATTTTTAGATATGAAAGTGCCTGTGTTTGTGTATGTGTTATGTACGTGTTCAGGTACACGTGTGTATGTGCTTGTGGAGGCCAGAGGGCAATCTTGTGCATCGTTTACTGGATCCATCTGCTAGTAAGACAGGTTCTCCCACTACCTGAAGCTCGCCAAGTAGCCTCAGCTAGCTGCTCAGGGAGGGGGCCCTCGAGACTCACCCAAGTGCTCTGACTATAAAACACACACTATGTCCAGCTTTTTGGATTTTATTTTAAAGCATGGAGCTGGAGATAGAAAGCAAGCACTTTACTGCCCCCACATTCCAAAACCTTTGAAAGATGCCCTAAACACTATTAGCTTTATCTTTTAACAACAAGCATGATGTGTGATGTAGTTGGTAAAGTTGGCTATAATCACTAAGACACAGCCTTACAACAATCAACAGATCTTACTCCTCTGAGGTCATAAGATAATTTCCTCCAGGCATGGGGGAGGGAGGGGGACAGGGCTCACTCTCTGGAACTTCATGGCCCTATCTTCCGGTGCACTAAGACTCAACCTGCCTTCCTTAACGTTCTTAGATGCCCATCTTCTAGGGGTCCTAAAACAGCCTCTTCAAAAAGGGTTAACTTTCTACTATGAGCTCCCAGAAGTGGTAAAATACACTCGGTGAGGATTAAAAATCTAGTCAATGGTACCAGGTCACTCTCTTTTCAAGAACACCAGCATAAATAGTGCCCAGAATAAATGCTTCCAAATCTTAAAGCCAGTTTAAGTTCCTGCATAAAAACTATACTTGAGTTTGTAGTTGCCTCAAGATTTATTTCTGTTTAGGCCTGGAATGATAGAAATACATTCTCTAAAAGAAGGCCAGGAAGAACAGAAAGCAGCCCGGGAAGCTGCTGGCTGTGCGGGGAGCATGAGAGTCCTCCCCGAGAGTCCTCCCCGAGAGAGGCTGCTGAGAAAGTCACTTCTGCAGTTACAGCCTGGCCTGTGAGCCACTTCCCTAAGGAACCCAGCGCTGTGCGTCCGCCTCTGCAGTACTGCGGCCTCTTAATACCCAGCGCCCTGCTTCTGGCCTCCATGTCTTTACCTCTCCTTTGCTTACTGCCTTTTAACTGTTTGTTTTTTCTCTCTCGACTTCCAGGCTGCAACTGCCAGTGTTAATTTACTTACGGTGTTAGTCTACTTACAAAATCACAGTTGGGCAACATTGACATTATCAAATTCTAGGACATCTGCCATTCCTTTGTACCGCTGGATCACTCTCCACTGACAATCGCGAACCTGCATTCTACAGATTTACACACTCAGGGTGTTTCATATGAAGAGAATCATATAATAGGCAGGAATTGTGTTTGCTCTTTTTATCTTGCATAGTCTTCTCATCGTTTATACTGCAGCATGCATTATTATTCCCTTTCTTTTTACAGTTGAAGAACACATCACATTTCATTTGTTCATTCAGTACTTAATGGGTATTGGAGTTGTCTCTTTTTTTGGCTGTTATGGATCATGCTAGTGTAAGTATTTAAACAGTTTTATGTAAGGTCAGGCTTTCGTTAAGCAAGGGTATGCCCAGGACTGACCAGGTCACCACCAAACTGAATGCAAGGCCATCATTTCACAATCCCACTAGCAAAGGACAGGGTTCAAATTTCCCCATACCCGCATCAACAGTAGTGGCTGTCTATCTGTTTCACTATAGCTATCCAAGTGTGAGTCGGGGGTTGTTTCACTGTGGTTAGGATCTGGAATGTCCTGACGGCTACCAGCGCTGTGCCTCCTCTAGTGTGCTTATTAGTGACATGCCAGACGTTTCGTATGACGTGTTCTCCTTTACTCCTGGGGACTCACCCGCACTAACTCATTCAGAGACACCAGGCTCTAACGACGAGGGCTGAAGAGGCCAGGCTTGAGGAGGTGAGTTTACACCTAACTCCTCACTCACCCACAAATGACTAGGAAACATGGTCCTGATGCAGAAGTCTGCAAGGCCAGACGGCTACATGTGCTTCTAATCGAGCTCCTTCCTCTGGGCTGATCCTCTAGTGTTTAAAGTCCCCATGGGCAAGTGAATCCCTCTTCAAAGGTTCTCACACAGAAAAGCTAAAAACATGAAATGTCTCCCTTGGGGGAAAACTTCATTTTAACAGAACTCCTTAGAGTTAAGTACAGATAAATGCCTTTCCTGGTGCATCCCGAAAGATACACACCTCGAATGCTTACCTGAAAATTAATTTGTGCCATTGGGAGGAGGTGAACCAAGGAGCTGCACATATCTGTAGTTATGAGGGAACTGACTTCTGGTATACTGAGGCACTGCAAAGTTTTATATTTTTCTTGGGACATGCCCACTTTGGAACCCAAAACGTCAGCAATGGCTGTAGGCAAAGCAGAAGAGGAAAAACAATAAATTCATGGCTTGTTAAATAAACAAAGTTATAACTTACTCATATTTTAAAAAAATAATTTACGAAATAAAAAACAAATTCACAAAATAAACATTCACACTTTAACCACAAACAACCAAATGACTTTGCTCATTAGCCATGTGGAATTAACAAACTGAAAGTTGAAGAATTTCTTTTTAGAAGACTATACCTATTATAGCTCAGTGGTTAAGAGCGATTAACACTCTCGCAGAGGCCCCAAGTCTGTTCCCAGCATCCCAGCCAGCAGCTCACACCACCTCTAATTCCAGCTCCATGGTAACCTGATGGCCTCTGTGGGCACCTGTACTCACATGCACAAACAGATGCACACATGTATGTACACATGATTAAAAATAAAGTTAATCATAAAAAAGAAATAGCGTAGAAAGAGGTGGAGGGATGTGCTCACTTTGGCAGTATACATACTAAAAATGGAAAGATACAGAAAGAGGAGGATGGAAAGGAAGTACATTTGGACCTCATCATTTCATCTCTTGGAAATTGACAGAGGGTCATCACATTTAAAAGAAATGGGAGCACTCTGCAGAAACAACACTTGTCACCTATGGGGAGCACCCAGCATAAACAAAACACCTTACCACCTATGGGGAGCACTCTGCAGATACAAAATAACTTATCCTAACCTATGGGGGGCACTCTCCAGAAACAGAACACCTCACCACCTGGACAAACCACAGGAAGACAGAAGAAATGAACCAGGAGCCAGAGTTAAACTGTTGCCTGACAGTTCACTATGCAGTAAGCACCTTTCACAGCTAATTGAGATCACAATGCTACAGAGATTTTGTTGAGAAGCAGTCTATAGACATAAGTGTCAACACAAATGCACTCACTTATCAAATGTTCCCCTAAAGTTTAGTCTCCTGGCTTAAACGATCAAACAGCATCCATTTTCCCTGTAACTTCAGAGGTAATACTGGATCCCTTCAGAAAATACACATCAAATGCAAGAGAGTCCGGTCTTTATAATATATTAATGTAAATTAGACACCACTGTTACCCACCTAGGAAGACTTTCTCCTTTCCGATGCAGTAAGTGCCACACACAACAAGGGCACGCGGGTTTAGAGTTACAGCCTCAAAGGCGGCGTTGATGGCGAACTGGATGACCTCCTGCTGAGACGGGAAGGTGTACCCTGGGCTGCAGTACCTATGGCAACAGGGGAATGGGAGACCCGTGGGCCCGCTTGGGTGCTGCTTTAGAGGGAATCAAACCAGAGTTACGTCCACCGCGAGAACACACACATTAGAAGGACAGTCTCATACTGCCTGCAGTGAACACACTTATCCCCAGTTACTGCCAATTGATGATTAAAAACACATGTTGAAAAATTATTATGTACTCTAATTATGTTTTTATCATCCTCAAAGAAATTTCCTGTTGGAGAACTTTGTTCTCAAGGAGAGTGTTTCTACACAGTTAGCCACTAGTTATGAATGCTAAAACTCAGTATATATATTTAAAACCCAAGTCACTATCAAAGAAAATATAATTAAGAGATCATATCTGTGATTTAATAAGAAACTTAATATGAGTTTTAATGTGCAGTTATCACCTCTCACAGATACGTAAAGGCGTAAATCACAGGAGGGCAGCGGCCACGAGGCTGGAGAGACGGCTCGGGGCTAAGAGGGGACCTGAGTTCAGTTCCCAGCACCCCACCTGTCAGTGAGATCCCAACCAAGTCCTGACTGGCTCCAGGGGACCCCACACAGACACATAATTAAAAACAGAAACAGATCTTATTTTCTTCCTTTATTTTAAAAAAAAATTAACTTTCATTTTGCATACCAACTCCAGGTGTCCCCTCCCTCCCCTTCTTCCTCCCCACATCCCACCCCCGCCCCACCCACTCCTCAGAGGGGTTAAGGCCTTCCTAGAGGAGTCAACAAAGTCTGTCATACCACACAGGGGCAGGACCAAGTCCCTCCCCCATCAAGGCTGAGCAAGGTATCCCATGGGAAATGGGCTCCAGAACGCCAGCTCATGCACCTGGGATAGGTCCTGGTGCCCCGGGCAAGCTTCCTCCCCAACAGATGAGCCACACAGCTGTCACCCACATTCAGAGGGCCCATGCAGGTTCCCCAGCTCTCCGTGAGCTCCCACCAGTTGACTCTGAGTTTCCCATCGTGATTTTGACCCCCCATCCCCCCACCCCCGTTCATATGATCCCTCCTCCCTCTCTTCAACTGAAGCCCAGGCTCGGCTGTGGGTCCCTGCATCTGTTTCCATCATTAATGCATGTAGGTTCCATGATGACAAGTAGTCACCAATCCGATTGCAGGGGAGGGCCCATTCAGACACCCTCCCCACTACTGCTCAGAGTCTTAGCTGGGGTCATCCCTGTGGATTCCTGAGAATTCTCTAGCACCAGGTTTCTCCCTAACCCCATAATGGCTCCTGGCTACAACCCACAACCCCAGAAAAGCTAAGTAAAAAGGGAACCTTAAAAGGAACACGCATGGAGGGCCCCAGGGAGGGAAAATAGCTCAGCTCTCCTGGGTAAACTGGGAGGGGTAGAAGGGAGGGGATGGGGGGGGCATGAGGGCTCAAGAACACGGAGTTTCAGGAGGCATGGTGGGCGAGCAACGAAAGAGACACAATCACAACCTTTAAAAAAAACACAACAGGTCTGTCTGGTTCCAGACACAAAACACCCAGTGAAAAGCTGGCCCAAGCTGTTATCTGCATATATTTTGAGATAAAAAGTGTGATTTTGCCAAAATAATACACAATGGACACCAAACAAATGATTCCTCATGACTTTCAGAATGGTTTCTGCTACTCAGCCATCAGAAAAGGGAAAAGAAACTCAGTCCTTCCTTCCATGACAACTCACAAAGGCATTCAGAATCACAGGAAGGAGGAAAGCTTATTCCTTTAATTTGTCTCTTTCCTAAAGTACGTAGGATAGAACGGTGTCACTGTGTGGTGAACAAGCGGCTGTGGAGCCTCTGTCCCCCGTGCAAAGAGTGCCTTTTAACAGAATACCTCATCCAAAATCCTTGGGATATCCAGTATAATTAATTCCCAACAAATCAATGAGTTATTTTAATATATAATATTACATTGTATACCATAAATATATACAATTTCTGTCAATTATACCCTAATAAAGCTGAGACATAATTTAAACATAGTCTCTTAGGTGATTATATTTGTATCACTGAAGGATTCAAAGGTGCCGTTTATAAGTTGCCTTTTAAAGAAATTAACAGCCAGGCATCGGCGAGACACGCCTTTAATCCCAGCACTCAGGAGGCAGAGTCAGGAAGATCTCTGGGAGTTGGAGGTCAGCCTGGTCTACAAGAGCTAGTTCCAGGACAGGCTCCAAAGCAATACAGAGAAACCCTGCCTCAAGAAAAAACAAAACAACAACAAAAATATTAATAAAAGTAATTCCAATAATCATAAACAAAACTGCACTGTAGGCTGTTACCTCTTCACAATTATACCCAATAATTATATGGACATGCCAGAAAAAGAATAATTTAAAGAATGTTTTTCTTAAGATCTGTTCCCCAAATTTACTTTTTTTTTAGTAACAGAATTGCCCTATAAACATTTTAAAAAATAAAATCACAAAAAATTATGACATAATTTTATATTTTCCCTTTAGCATATATATCTGGTGTGTGTGTGTGTGCACGCGCATGTGTGTGTTTTGAGACAGAGTTTCAAACTCACGCTGTAGACCAGGCTGGCCTTGTACTCACAGAGATCTGCCTGCCTGTGCCTCCTGAGTGCTGGGATTAAAGGTGTGCGCCACCCCTGCCTGGCAGCAGGTATATTTTTAGATGGCATCCTTTTGATAAACACTCTTAAAAATAATTGGTTATAAAGCCATCATTTAATTAAGCAAAAGCTTAAATTACCCATAAAATGCAGAGCAGAGCTCTGGGTGGGAAGAGAGAACCCAAAGAAAGTGTGTCTTACGTGGTGTCTAAGTAGAGCGTGTGCACTTTCTGGCCTGCGAGAAGAGAGCGCTCCATGCTGGGGTCCGCTCGGAAGTCTCCGGTGTGCAGTATGGCAGTACCGTTAGGAGGTCGGAAAAGGATCATGGACGCACCTGGACAGCTGGACACAGGCATCTTAGAGGAACACGCCGAGCACAGGCAGAGAGAGCACTCGAGCAGGGCACTCTCTCAGCATCAACGGGAGCTGAGCATGGCTGGAAGGCAAGGCTGCCCAAGCCTATAGTTCAGTAACAGTAACTCCAGAAAATATCAGAACTCAAACTAGCAATGAAAAACAGGAATGCTAGCAAACTCAAGAAGACAACTTTTTTTTTTTTTTTTTTTTTTTTTAAAGAATCTAACATGCTAATATCAGCCCGGACTTCAGCAAATCTAGATGTAGCCCTCCTTCTTTCTCCAAATGCGTATGATCTCTGTGGAAGAGACTAACACCTCAGAGAGAAGTGTAGAGGTCATTGTGTTTGGGCAACATGGAGCCTGACAGCATCTAAGTTGGGGACATATGGAGGGAAGAGAGATACAGAGGGAGGGAAGCAGAAGAAAAAGGAGACGGGGAGGGGGAGGGACAGCCACAGAGACAGAGAAAATACCACCTGCTTCCCTGGAAAAAGAAACCTCCCAAATCTCCAGAGTCTAAAATTGAATGATTCCTTTTTTTAGTTTAAGATCATTTAGTTTAGGGTGGGGGGCAAGGCACCAACCCTCCTGCATCCGGTGAATGTAAGATTTTGTTTTATGTAAATTATGTTACGGAAAATGGAAAACTTCATCTTTGAAAAAGAGTAACAGTATTTTTGAAGACTATAAAGTGTCATAAGTCAATATGTGGACAACATGGGTTAGACAACAGATTCTTTCTCCATTTAACCTGATACTAAGATTATTTTTTCAAGCGTAGACATAGGATTTATTCCAGTCTGAGAACCACGTTCATTAGCTCTAAACTCTCGGACAGTCATGCCCCGGCCGTCTCTGTGAACAATGTCTGAAATGGACGCCCTGTATGAGCGCCCTGTATGAGTGTACTGCCTTCTGCACCAAGCGGAGACTGAGGGGACCTCACACTTACTGATTGGCGTCCAGCAAAACAACCCCGACGCCGTCCACTACGCACTCAGTGTCCATCGGCAACGGATGGATGTGCTGTTCTTGCACACGAAGCTTCTTCTTCAACAAGTTGCCAGTTATCTGCAAGACGGTGAGTCGGTTGCTGGTGCAGCGAACACTAAGTGTCGTGTTTCACACCAGTTTAGAACCACGCTGTCTCCATGATCTGTTTCCCCGCTTTTATGCCTGTGACCTCTCCACACCAGGAATGAGTCTGCATGACAATCATGCCGCTCTTACACTGTTCACCTGGGAAAGGCCCCGTTCCCGGCACGGGGCACAAGCCGCTTCCCTGTATGGTCTAGCGCTCTAGCGCTACTGTGGGTTTATCCCGTGTGTGTGTGTGTGTGTGTGTGTGTGTGTGTGTGTGTGTGTGTGTGTGTGATGTTCTAGGCATTCCGGGCCCTCTGAAAGCCTAAAATACATATTTCTGAGGTGGTTGTGCCTCCCCACAAACTCCCCAGACCATTCCTTTTCACGAAGAAAAGAGGATTCTTCATGAAAGCCGTGAGGGTGAAATTAAAGTCTCACTAAGACCCTGGATTAAAATGTCCACTGTCACTGAACTAAGGCCATCTTGGTGGTATCTGTGACTGCTCTCCCTGGAAGCTACGAGCTCCCTAAAGCTAACTAGTTTGCCTCTGTATCTACCTAGGCACTCAAATGAATGTTTACTGAGTGAACTGTGGGCTACCGAGTATAATGTGAGATCATTTATTGTTCTCATGTAATAAAGTACGTGTTTCTAAAAGTAGGCTGTAACCGTGGGAAGTGACATATTGGATTTTGCAACCTAATGTAGGATCTGCCTTAGCCATCTCCTCTAGTACAGTGATGGCTCTTCTAGTGTTCAAGGATCTATTTTTTTTTTAGCAAGCTTCTCAAAGTCACAGCATTCCACAGAGTTCTAGAACACTAAAACTTACCTCGCTACAGTAAATTGGCAACTGGAAGTCCTTAGACAAGCCGGCATAATGATCTGAATGGAAATGTGTGAGGAAGTAGGCAGTGCAGCCTTCGACCTCACCGTACTGGAAAGCATCCACGGTAAAACGGGTTCCTGTGACGAGATGCCAGAAGTGGGGTGAGCAGGAGCTTCTCCTCTATGCCGCACCTGTCATTTAACCCTCAGTCCCACGATGGTTTACTTAAAAGTGGACATTTACCAAAAGGTAAGCATAACGCCTGTGTCTACTGAACATCCCAGTGTTGAGACGTGTGGATAGTTTCGTCAAAAATAACAACATCGTTAAGCCATTAATTTACACGCCAGTCATTTCTTTGCCCTTAATTAATACTTTTGCAATGCTGATACTTAGGGGGCAACTGAAATGTCTAATTTCTACAAAGCAGTGAATGAAGAATGGTTTAGTACCCCAAAGCCATGAACCCAACGAGGGTGTCACTGACCACATTCTCTGGGGTCAAATGGTTGGGGGCCAGAGATTTTAGAAAAGCTTGCAGTTCTCCCTAGGTTCAAAGTAAATAAAAGATCACAGTGTCAGTCCTTGAACTGCATTTCAGGGTAGCGGAAGAGTTAAGGAAATAAAAAGGGATTGCTAGAGTGTCCCCAGAGGAACAAGAACAAAGCCGGAGCCGAGAAACACTGTTGTAGAGTGTGCTTGCTTGCGGAAGAGGTGGTAAGTGTGCTGGCAGGTGACACGCCACTCGATAAACTCCACCTCCCACTCCTACCGAGGCCACCAGGACACAGCACACCTGGAGTACAAAAGAGAACCGCAGCCATCACTGGAAACCAAACACCGGCGGAGAACTTCCATGCCGTATTTAGAAGCTGAGTATACTATCGCTGTTTTACTGTTTAGTGGTTTCTTTAGTAATAGAATTCATTTCCTCGCACATTTTTTTGTGTGAACTCGTCTGTGAAGGCATGGGCAGACATCCATTTAGAATATACAAAGCCAGAGGAACTAACGTTCTGACATGCTCTGGAACTGGCATCCATGGTAGGTGCACCATGTTTTAAGGGCACTGAGCTCTGTACCTCCTCAGCAGCGCTTAAACACGGGCTTTTATTATATTTGCACAGATATCTCACCTTCTGTCAACTTAAACGTTTACTGGCCTTTCTAAAATCAACCTAAAATAGCTACCTACTCATTATAGCATCATGTGTAAAATGAACGTTAAATAAACATTTGATGATAATGGGGAAATACACACACACACACACACACATCCAAAAGCCTCAGTCCTAATAAAAGACTTATAAATTATCATAAAGAGCAAAGAAAACATATGCTGTACACAAACTACTTTAAACATATGCACCCAAGACAAGGAACGTGAAGCTAAACACTCCGTGTCTCCGTTGAGAAGCTGAAGCCAGTAGTTCAACTTACCGGGGATTCTCTTATAAAACGGGCACGTTCTTCTCAATTCGCTGGCCCCGGATGACTCTGAAGTACGCATGCTCCCTCTTTGTGGCCTGCCATGAGTCCTCCTTATAAAGGCTCTGTTCTTATTTAAACTGACTTCTCCCGATTCTGGACTGTGAATGGGATGAAGGGACCTCCTCTGATGCACTCCTTCCTGTGATGAATCTGACTTCTTATGTCTCTTTCTCCGACCATAGGCCCTCTCTCCTGGCTGTTCTGCAGAGTACTGACTCTCCCTCAAGTCCCCGGAATCCAATTCTAAGTCACTGAGCGAGTTCTCTGCTTTCCTCTTGCACGGCCGGGGCCTCTTTTTGTTAGGACTAGCAACTGGACTGACACCGGGCCCTCCGGATGCACTTTCCCTGGGTGAGGGCTCTTGTCTTTTGGGGGGTAATCCAAAAAACACACCTATATCCATTTGTTTCATTACTTTCTTAGAAGGCTGACTTGCACTGCACTTGGGACTGGAAGGCGCCAATGTGCTCCAAGACTTGGCCAGAGGCGGACTACACCGCTTTTCTACCTGTGCGCAGGCACAGGCTGAGTTAGCAATGGTGGCACCCGAGCCCTCACCCTGTAGTCCCCTACGTTGACTTTGCTTCTGATGCAAAGGCCGGAGCTCTCCTCCCTCCTTTTCAAGTGGCTTTGGCATGGCCCTGGCACGTAACGGCAGGGAAATTGGATTGCCAACAGCTGGTGTTTCCATTTTCCCTTTCTGATGACTTGATCCAAGTGAGTGGGATTCCTCTGGCTCCCCAGGTTTTGCTTTAGTGGCTTGATAATTAGAAGCAGCAGGCCCTGCTGCTAAGGCAGGTGAAAACCGGAGAAAGCCGGCGTCTGTGCATGGAGGCTCGTCTTGGGAAAGTCTGTTCTGGGTTTGGGAGAGAAGCCTAAGCGAATCATGTAGCGCCCTGCCTTTACACAACCTGCTACAATCAGCCTGAGGTACCAGGGTTCCCGCCGTCAGGCAAACTCCCTCTGGGTCCCTTGGGAAGGGATCATGAAACTTTTCAAATGGGACAGAACCATCGTCCTCCAGGCTGCTGTCTTTAGAACGTTGGGTACAGAACAGTTCTTGCTGTGAATCGTCCAGCTCTCGGTCTAAGTCATGAGGCTCCTCATCACTCTGCAATGGAGAATAGGAGATCTCACCGTAGCCACAGTCATTTTCGGGTGATGGCAAGCTCGCACCCTGGGAGGCGGCGCTATGACTGTTTAAGGAACCCTCAGGGAGAGGCAGACCACCTCGCACAAGCTTGTCCTTCTTAACAGACTCCATACGTTGTGAGACTGGTGACATTTGAGAATTGGTGGAAGAGGGAGATTCTCTGATGGCTTCAGGTGAGAGTGGCAATGTTTTTAGACTCTGTATCATCAGCAAAGAATCATCTAAAACTCTTAGGTTCTCAGCTTTCAGATGCACAGGCCATCTTTCTCCAAGGTCACAAGAGGAGGCCGGCTTTGCTGCTGCAAAACGTCCAGCCGGCATGTGCGAGGGGCTGCTGGGAGGCTCATTGCTGGCCCTACTTTGAGCTAGCAGGAGGTGAGTGTATTTCTTATAATGAGAAGGAATTGTGGAGGTACACAGAAGACCCTCGGGACACTCTGAAAACAGTAAAAAAAAAAAAAAAAAAAAAAAGAGCATTTCACCCAATAAACTTTGACAGCACAGTAACCTTGAAGCACAAAAACCAGGGGTCTCCATTTTATTTTGGTTTTGAGACAGTTTCTCTGTGTAGCTCTGGCTGTCCTAGAACTCACAGAGATCCTCCTGCCTCTGCCTCCCGAGTACTGGGATGAAAGGCGTGTGCCATCACAGCCTAGGCCGCCATGGGTCCCCTTTAAGAACTATGACAATAGCTATGGCTAACTGCATGGCAGCTGTTGGCAAGATCAACAATAAAATACCAAAAATTAGTCCACCACCATTTTACAAGGTACTGTTTACTACATTCACACCAAACACTTTTAGATCGGTTTTCAAATCCTCTCTTGACAAGAAAATTTTAGAAAAGTTTTAAAAAGTCATAACTCATTTTCCATACAGTCCAAGTAAACATTTCTACTTGTTAAATACATTTGTCTTAAAATGTAATAAAAACAAAGCATCACTTCTCTTGCACACAGTTTTATGAGAATCTGAGTCATCTCACATTACCTTGTAGTTCCTCTTCCGGGTACTAACAGGAATGATGAATACAACACACCCATATTTAGAAACCAAGTGTGTTTATAATTTCAAATTCTAGAACAGGATAACAAATTGGCCTAGTTTTGGCCTAGTTACCTAACTTGTAGGAACCCTCACCCATAAAATGTCACTTCTATCTACCTTACGCAGTCCTTGAGAGAGTCGAGTAAGGGAAGGAATACACATGGGAGGTTAACTGGGAAGCTGGGATGATGGCTGCCCTGCACACAAGGACCTGGATTCAGATCAGCAGCCTGTAAATGAGCAAGCCAGGCATGGCTGCACATCCTCCTCTTCCCAGTACTGAGGTGACAGGAGTCCCTGGGGCTCTTCTTACCTGTGTCAGAGACTGGGGGAGAATCCAGACACTCAAAAACATGCCATCGGGGTGTCTGACCCAGCAGCAGGGAAAAGGGCATCTGGCAGCTTGGGCAGTATCCATCATAAACTGGGCGTACCCTGGGGGACACTTGTTTGTTTTTGTGAGTTCTACAGTGCTTTCTTGGGGTAGTCTCTTTGCTTTGAGACTGCCGAATCTCGTCTGCTCCACTTGAATTCTGACTGGAACCTACAGAAACCGGACAGTCCGTCTCTCCGAGGCATACTCTGTGGCCCTTGGCTTTCTCTTTATCTTGCCTGGTTCTTTTTTGGTTTCCTTTTCCTTTTGACTGGTGTTTTCCGTCTGTTGTTCTTCCAACAGACTCTGGAATATTTTGGGAACAATTATTTGGACGTGCTGGTTTTGGTTTCCTTCTAGATTTATATTCCCAGATGTCTTCTTCCCAAAACGTGTCTTCCGACATGGCAAGATGATTTTATATGAGTCCATTAGTGTTTAAGTAAATTCGGAGTCATTTTCTTGCTACAATTTTTTTTTAAAAAAATAGGGAAAAAAGTAACCAAAAGCCGACTAACTTAGCTGGTGCCTGTGAACACGTGCTTGTCCATTTATAGGACAATAAATTAGGAGAACCCACCCACCGCAGATTAATATCTGTACGTTTTCTTTACATTGTGACGCTGTTCCATTCAAACTTTTTTTTTTTTTTCCTTTTCCGGGACTTGACTCATTAAAAATAAGAATCAATGACGGCTTGAAAATGCGCAGGTGGGAAGTCCAGGCCCAACAACTTTATCTTGAAAGCCGCTCCATGTATCCCGGCTCGCGCCCAGTCACAAGTGCAGTCCTGGCCCTGGTCACACCATAACCCCAGAGGCGCTGGCCCGCGGACCCACACCCGGCCCAGCCGCGGCTCCTGGATTTCCAACCAGCTCCAGTGTCCCGGGCCGCTGCATTTCTCCCTGCAGCACACACGGGATCAAACCCTGCACAGGGAACAAAGTTCAAACTCGCGAGTGCAGACCACAGGGCAGGGCCGTCTGTCTGTCCTGGGGGGTCAAGTACACAAACTGCCCAAGGCCCCTCCCCGCCCTTTCTGGGGACCCACACAATCAAGGGGCCCGAACTTACTCCCGGGGCAAGCACTGCAGCCCCACGGCGCGTCCCCGGAGGCTGCGGCGCCCACGCTCGCCCTGCACCGCCCCGGCTGCAGCTGCCCCCGCCCGCCCGCGGCGCACTCGCTGCATTCGCTCCCGCACTTTCAGCACTCGCGGGGCGACAGGAGGCACGGTTAGCACACGCAGCCACGGGGCCTCGACACCTGCAAAGCCGGCGCTGCTCCTCCCAGGACTCCTCCGCCCCCTTTACCTCTCGGGTCTCCCTTGGCGGGAACCGTGTCCCGCGGGGACGGCCGTGCCGAATCGGCTGATGTCAGTGGAAGGGCGGGACGGCCGAGGAGGGCGTCTTCCCCGGGGCGGCTCGGTTTGAGTTGCACTCACAGCCGTTTGCATTCTATCTGCGCGGGAGACCCCGGTCTGGCTCCCGGGGAGGGGAGGGTGGGAAGGATCGCGCGGCCCCCGCGGCGCTGCGCGTGTCGAATCTGCCGCCGCGAACGTCCAGGCTGCGGAGCGGCCCGGGACCTGGAAGGGGCGGGGCCGGGCGCGGCGCGGCGGGGCGGGGCCGGGCCGGGCGGGGCGCGGCGGGCAGCGCCGGGGTTCGGGTTGCGCCGGGCAGCGCGGCCCGTGCACTTCGGCCCCCGGGGGACGGCTTCGAGTGGGCAGGAAGCGTGAGAGGCGCCGGCAGCGCCCTCGATCCCGGGGCCCGCGGGGCTCGCACGGCATGGCGGCGCCCGGGGCGCGCGGTGCCAGCCTGGCGGGCCTGCTGCCCGCGCAGACGTCGCTCGAGTACGCCCTGCTGGACGCCGTGAGCCAGCAGGACAAGGACGAGCTGGTCTTCCAGTACCTGCGGAAGGTGGACGGCTGGGAGCGGGACCTGGCGGTGCCCGACTTCCCGGAAGGTGAGGGCTGCGTCGGGGAGGGGCCGCCCTCTGTGACCCGCGGGGCCTGGTCTGCAGCGGCGGGAGTTCCAGACCGCCCTGCCCCGCGCTGCTGCACCGTCTCCTCGCGTCCCGGCGACGTGCGCTGATGGCGACGCACACGGTTTGCGGCAGTAAGAGCTTGCTCGCTGCCGGCTGCCGCCGGGCAGGGGCGCTCTCCCTGGCCCGTCTCTGCAAAGTTAGGGAAAGCGAGGCACAGGAAGGCGAGGGCGCTTACTGGCCCGTCTAGGAACGCTAGTTACACGGTGCAGACCTCACTCGGATCCGATGCTTTCCCAGCCCTGCCGCGCGTCTCCTCCACCTTCAGGGTGGTGGACCGACAGGTGGGGTTTTAAAAGTCGGAGTCAGTTTTAGTTTAGCAGTCAGGTTTGCATCCCGACTGTGGGACCTGTTGGAGCCCGAGGAAACAGATCCTCCCAGCAGGGAAGGTTAAACAAAAGGCTGCTCTACCTTTGGTTGGCAGGGTCGTTGTTGAGCCTGCAGGTGTTGGCGTGTGTCCTGGCAGGACACTGAAACCGCATGCATAGTTAATTGGTCACTGCTGGTTGGGTTCACCTGTCTCCGGAAGGATGTATCGGTACCTCCTCCATCCCATCCACAACAGTCTCGAATGTCTTTCTTACTCTTTTGCACTTGACTCGAGAGGGGCTTGCCCCTCCACCCTTAATTAAATATTATACTGGATTTAAAATGCTGTGGAATGGAAAATAAAATAAAATAAAAAGAACCTGCATGGAAGTTTACCCCATCAGAGAAACTTCAAAGTGACAAATACACATATACAGATGTATATAAATCTCCAGGAAGTTTTGTTATAAAGTGATTAGGAAATACACTATTATAAGCCAGCAAGCCATCCGCTAGAATTTTAGGAGAGCGTTTCTGTTTGTTTTTATAGTTACTTTGTTACTATGATATTTGACCGCTGCGACTCACGTCATACTCGTGAGAACACAATCAGGCTTTGTTTTTGATACGGTCTGATATTCTGCTGAACCCGATTATTAAGGACAGAATGTTAAAAATGAACAAAGCAGTTGCAGTTTACTGGTCAACAGAGAATATACCCATTCTACAGAAGCTGCCATGTACAGTATAGTGGGTGGATCCAGGCCGACCTGAACCTAAGCCCTTTTTCTCCCTTCGTTAGCTTTTTGCTTTTAACACATTACTTGATGTCCAAGTCTGGTTTTTCACTTATAAAGTGGAACAATATTACTTTTCAGGATTGTTTTGTGGAGGTAATTCAGGCAAATTCTTAGGAAACAAGGAGGCTTACTAAGTTAGCCATATTCATTGTAATCATTGCTGCTTAAAATACACTGTTATCATTAAATCTGTGAACAGCTAGCACAATAACTTAAATATGGTAACACCTTTAACAATCAGTTTCTAGGACAGATTCTTACATTACTTGTATGTGGAATGTGAAATAAATGTTAATTACTAGGCGTAAGTAATAGTTTTGTGTCATCAATTAGAGATATAATAATACTTATCAAAAGGAATGATTAAATGTTCCCTGAACCCTGACACTTTTAGAGTATTTGGTGGAAATACTATTTGATTTGAGATAATCTTTTCTAGAATTTTGTTATAATGGACTAACTGTAGTTTTCATTACTGGCTGTTTTCCTTGCTACGTTAGTCTCCTTTTGTCTGGTTACAGGAACCTATAGTTAATCACCTCAAAACGCTAACTGGGAAATTTCAGAAATAAACTCTCCTAAGTTTTAAATTGTAACTGTGCCTCTCTCCCGTGTCCTCTACGGGAGGTTGGCCTTCTGTTCGTGACATTAACCAGCCCTGTGCACACCTCAACAGTGTATGTACCATCCACCATCAGTCATTAGTACTTGTCTTGGTAGATGAATGTTCTGGGGCCACAGTGCTTGTGCTCAAATACCCCTTACTTTCCCTGATAATGGCTCCCAAATGCCAGAATAATGGTGCTGTTTATTGGATATGCCACAAAGCAACCATCAAATCCCTCCTTTAAGTGAAAAGGTGAATTTCTGCTCTATAGAGAACAGCCACTTGTTGAGGTTCTGAGAGGTGTGGTAAGAGCGAATTTTAGCCTGTCAAACTGAACAGGGAAAAGGGAACTAACTGTGCAGTTGGCTGCTCTACCTCCTGCTGTGAAGGTGGCCTAAAGAGCACAGTGTGGAGCATGCGGAGCTGTTCTGGCAAGGCTCAGGTCTCCATGGAACTGAGATCACTCCGTTACCATAGACAGATGGGACAACTGTGTCTATGTCTCCTCTGCAACCTTGCCTCTTTGTTCCTTTAAACTATTTCTGTCTACTTCGAGGTATAATTACTACTTTAATAGCTGTATTATTTGCTTATAACAATGAATGTCCTTGTTTTCTTAGATGACTTAAGTAGGGATCCTATACTTTTTAAAACTTTGAGTCAGTGTCAACTAATCATAAATTATGTATTAAAAAAGTTACCAAATCAAGTTCCTATTTTTCTCTGAAGGGAAGGGAACATGATCTTCATCAGTGCTAATGTTTCTTGTAACTTTGCATTTTAAGTACTCTGTTTTATAGTTAGGGTTTGTCCATGTCTAGAACATGGTGACTTCTCTTTTGTAAGATTATTTTAATTAAGCACCTCACATTTACCCTTACAGCCACCATGATCTTATCCACATCTGCTTTTAAAACTTGGTCCTTGTTCTCAAGTATCCCTTTTTTACCTAATTATTTGTGCAGTTAGAATTTTTAAATCTTATTTTGCTTTACTGTGCTATTTCATTCACTTCTAGACTGTTACACTTTCTGAAAGAATTTAGTACTTTTTTGTTTGTCTTTACTACATTTTCAGATTGCCTCATAATAGCAGATCATCCATTCTCAACCTGCTACTACCCTCCTCCTGTCTGTCCCTCTCTGAGATTCTAATCCCCACATCGTTGCCTAGCTGATCTTTGTCATTAAATCAGACATACCTACATTGTTAAAAATCATGAATGTGTTCTCGTGTTTATTAATAGAAAAGAGACCCAGGGAGAAAGAGAATACTAAATACAAATGCCACAGACTTTAACTAGTGCTGTCATCTCTTGAAATGTCTGACCACTTATGGCCGTCTTAGGAGAAAAGACTCACTTATAATGGACGGTTTAGGTGAGGTGTCCTGTTTTCTTTCTTGTTCCCTTTAATGCTGTGATTTGTGTCCTGTAAATTCCAGGGTTAGAATGGCTGAATACAGCAGAGCCTCTTTCTGTTTACAAGGATCTGTGTGGAAAAGTGGTTGTCCTCGACTTCTTCACCTACTGCTGCATTAACTGCATCCACGTGCTGCCCGACCTGCATGCTCTACAGCGCAGATTCTCCGACGAAGGTACCTGCTTGTGTTTGGTTCCTCTTGTACATGAGCACTGGAGGCCTTGGCTCCGAGGGGAGGGAGCGTTTGGGGGGGCTGTGATGCTTGTAGGCGTGATCCTCACCTGTGAGCAGTGATCCTCACCTGTGAGCAGGACTGACTCCCTGTTTCCCGAGCCTTTTAATTGTAAGATCAGGTCTCACTGTGGTCCAGGCTGTCAGGTTGGCCCTCCATCTTTAGGTCCCCTGATTTGCCTCCCAGGTTTCCATGTGCTTCTTCATGAGCATGGGTTAAACTTAGTGATAATGGTTTGCTTAATTGAGAACCAGAATTTAGAATTCAGGTTTTGTCTTAGGGTTTGAGCCTAATTTACTTTTGGCATGATGAGATATTTTAAAGAAGTCTTTTTCTATCCCAGGCTTAACTAACTTTGTTCTATGAAAAAGTGAAGCATCTGGTCCCGATTTTATACTCTGTCAGTGTGACGATACAAAGGCTGACATTCTTCAGCAGGGATGTCATTAGGCTCTGACGGGAACCATGGTGGAATGCAAAATACAGCAGATACTTTTTCTTTGACCTTGCATCATTAAAAAGTGATTTGTTACAGTTAATGTTTTCCAAAGCACACTAGGAAATCCTCTTATGGCAGTAAAGCTTTGGAGGTAGGAAAGATTATACTTAGAGGTTGTTGTCCAAGTTGGAAAATAATCTGGTTTTGATTTTTTGTTGATGTCTTTTCAGAAGAACATGAGAGTAAAATTAATAAAGTGATTTCATTATTTAAGTTTAAAGGCTGTGATATGCTTGGTATCTACACGGAAGAGATAGGGTCATGGCTTGTGAATGGGCACATGGGTAGACCATGTGCATACACAAATGCCAGGTATCTAGGAACATAGTTGAGGAAGATTGCTGACAAAATCTAAAAATACAAATCAAGATTTGGATGTTTTCAACTGTAACATATTGTGTTTAAAATACTAACCAAATGATTTACAAATGACTGTATCATCATCAAAAATTGTTGTGCGTAGACCTAAGAACCATGTTTTATGATGCCCTAGATGCCCCAGGTGGATTTGCCTGTGTTTCATATTCAAGCCAGCACATTTATTGAGCACGCTTGATGAATGTTTTTAGGACATGAGTAACAAATATGAGTAAGAAGCATTAAGGTGGCAAAATCCATTATTTTATAAAATGAATGTATGTATAATTTTAAGTCTTACCCACCTCACTCCCAGAGAGCAGTGGCTCACTTCACCTGTGACACTTTGAAAAGATTCCCCAGTGAAACAGAATTGACCCAAGCTTTAAGAGGCCGTGCATGTGAGATTGAAATGGGCAGCAGGGTATGCCTGGCTGAGAAAGTATCGGGGAAGTAGATGCTAGAAAAAGTAGTATTCTTGATCTAAGAACAGGTTAAGTGTGTCGGGGTTTGTGATGAAAATAAAAAGATACAGGGGCTGGAGAGGCAGCTCATTGGTTAAAAGCACTGGCCAATCTCCCAGAGACTTTTGAGTTCAATTCCCAGCAACCACATGGTGGCTCACAACCATCTCTAATGGATTCGAATGCACGCTTCTGGCTTGTGGGCATACACGCAGACAGAGGACTCATACATAAAATACATAAATAAATAACTCTAGAAAAAAATAATAAGAGGAGACAAAGACTGAAGCCACATTGTGAAGTACATTTTCGGGCCTTCCTAATAATTCATACTGTCTTCTTCCATTGAGGATGTGTTAATGTCGAAGGTTGTTTTTTTATTTGTTAGTTTTTTTTATTATATTTTACTTTATTTTATAACAGCACTGTATACTATGTTAAGTATCTGTATGTTGACCTTTTCCTTATCTAAGGTCATCCCTAAATAACTATGTAGTTAGCTTAATTGGTTGATACCATGCCCAGAGCAAATTCAGTGACCTCCTTTCAACGATCTGTGTCCTTGTCCAGTTAATGTGGAAATGTTTTGTTTTGTTTTTTACAATACACACACACACACACACACACACACACACACACACACACACACCCCTCTAAAAGAGAAATGCTTTGTAAGCAGAAAGAGTTGTAGGAAGATGGAAGGGTAAGAAGCAACAGAAATGTTCTAGAATAGTTGGTTGTACAGATAGAATTTGTCTAGGGTAGAACTCTCTATTGAAGGCAGAGCTGCTGTATATTGTCAGCAAATGTCACAAGCCAATTAAAAACTAATTTAAAAAGACAAGGAAGAGTGGCCAATTCAAAGAAAGTGTAAGCCACAGAAAATGTACCTTTAAGAGACCAAATGACAGATCTGAGAGTCTTTAAGACAAATGTTAAAAATGCTTACAGAACAGCAGAAAATGTAGAAGAGATAAAACAATCCCCAAGAAAGAGGAAATGACAATAAAAACATAAAGACTCTGGAACTGAAGACTACACCAATAAGTGAGCATTTGGAGGCAGAACTTAAAGCTAAAGCAGCAGAAATGGTTGAATATTTTATAAATGTTTGAAAGGGTCTCATTCTTAGCCGAGGCGGGTTTAGAACTCACTGTCTAGCCAGGCTGGCCTTGGACTTGTGCCTAGCATTTTCAGTTTTGTAAGATGAAGAGTTCAGAGATGGATGGTACTTGGAGGTGGTTGGTTGTCCAACAGCATGAATGTTCTTAATACTCAATACTACACTTAAAAATGGTTAAGATAGTAAATGGTATAGAAAATAAACCTATGAGACCACAAAAATGGCTGCATGTGGTAGTACTGATGCCTGTAATGTCAGCACATGGGAAGCTGAGTGTCTTAGTTAGGGTGTCCATCGCTGTGAAGAGACGCCGTGACCATAGCGGCTCTTACGAAGGAAAATATGTAATGGGGAGATTGGGGAGGCTCACTTCAGAAGTTCAGTCCATTACCATCATGGTGGCGCACAGGCAGACACGTGCTGAGGTAGAGCTCAGAGTTCTACATCTGGATCCACAGGCAGCAGCAGAAGCGTATGAGACTCAGAGCATATGAGACTCAGACTCAACAGTGACCTTCCCTCTACAAGGCCAGACCTCGGAATAGTATCACCCCCTGCGGGCCAAGCATTGAAGCACAGGACTCTGTGGGGACCATTCCTACTCAAACCAGCACACTGAGGGAGGGAAGTAAGGGGTTTGAGGACAGCCTGGGTCAGACTGAAATGCCATTTCCAAACACGGAGGGGTGCTTGACTTATGTTTTTAAAATTAACTTCATAGAGACAAATTTGTGCCCCTGTGGGAGAAATTCAGTCTGTTGAGTAGTGCTGACTCCTAACTAGTGAGACCCATTTGCTAGCTATATAGACACTTTATGAGTCTTGTAATCTTGAAACTGGCCATAGGGGAAGCATTTATACCATGGAAGTCAACAAATGCTATAAATCAGGGAATTTTGTGAATTGGTTTTTTTTTTTTTTTTTTTTTTTTTGGTCATTTCATCAAGTCAAAGAGATAGTTTGCTAGCATATCATGGGGTGTGGTTTGCCACCAAATGGCTTATTGCTGGACTGGTAGACTGTGGAGCAGTGGTTCTCAACCTGTGGGTCACATCAGATACCCTGTATATCAGATTTTATATTATAATTCACTACAGCAGCAAAATTACAGTTATGAACTAACAGTGAAACAGCGTATTGATTGGGGTCACCACAACATGAGCAACCGTATTAAGGTCACAGCATCAGGAAGGTTGAGAAGCACTGACTGACTAATTTGTATTTCTGCATTTGGCTGTTTTGAATGCCGTTTGTGGAATAAATTTTTGGGCCTTGGGAATACTTAGATAAGTGGTCTCAGCCTTATAATTTCAAAGAAGCCTTGCTGCAGTCATATGCTACTATATGAACATCCTGGTATCCACACTTTTTTTATATTGTCGGAAGATAATTCCGTTCATATGGAAAAGGGTATATCTAGAAGTTATCACATGGAAGTTCAGTAAGCTGTCACCAGATTAAACCTGCTTTCTTGCAGCTACGACTCTTCCACTCTGTGACACATTTCTGCACATAGTGGCGCAATGCGGTTTCTGTCCCCGAGGGTCACAGCAGACGGAGGAATTTCTCATTAATTCAGACACCTCCAAAGAGGCTCAGTTTCAAACCCACTCTTGCCTGGCATGGCGGTGCAGCCTCTGATGCCATCACTCAGTAAACAGAGGCTGGGGGATTACACATTGTACGCGAGCCTGGACTTCATAGCAAGACCCTATCTCAAAATACCAGAATAAGTACATGAATAACAGCTTTTAAATTCAGGTTTGCAATAGTGACCAAAAGCCCTCAAATATTTTCAGTCCTTGTATTTGACTAGGTTATTCTTTCTGTTGTAGTGTATACAATTGAATCTGCATATGTCTATCTTTCTGTCTTAGTTACTGTTCTATTTCTGGGAAGAGATACCGTGACCAAGGCAGCTCATAAAAGAAAGCATTGGTGGGGGTCTTGCTTACAGTTTTGGAGGCTTAGTCACATGGCCACCGTGGCAGGAAGCAGGCATGGGCTGGAGCAGTATGTGGAGAACTGTATGTTCAAATATTTGAGCCTACGGGGCCATTGTCGTTCAAACCAGTGCACTTTGCTTTCAAGTGTTTTCAGTGATTTGTTTAGAAGTTATTTCATTGCTTGATGGCTTGAAAGATGCTCTCTCTCTCTCTGTTCAGCCTTCTCGCTCCTATTTGCTTTCTTTTGTTCCTTCTATGTTTTCTGTTTTTGATCCTTGTGTTGGAAAGAGTCATAAAGGGAGGGTTCTTCTTGTCCTTATTTTTATGACCTAAGTAATAGAAGAAGCAAACTAAGAAAAATATGTGTATATTTTAAGATTCTCAATGCTACAAAATGAGAATACATATGTGATAATTGACTGTATATGAAAAGACAGGATAGTCATCCTATTTGGACTAAATGGTGTGTGTGTATAGGTGTGTGAGTGTAGGTGGGTGTGTATGAGTGTGTGTGTGTGTGTGTGTGTGTCTGTACACATACACACAGCTGTCTT